GATGTGAATGTTTGTCGACGCAGATCTTTGAAGTTGTCTTCTTTTGTTGAAGAGTTTGCAAGTTTGTGAAGAATTTTATTTAATTTTTTAGTTTTAAACACAAGAATTTTTATTAAATGTACGTTCAACAATAAGAAAAAAGTGTTAGTACTATTATTATTTAAAAAGCCTCTGAAATAAAGTGAAAGCTGTGAAAATTACACAGCATGGCACCCGCACCACAGCCACTTGAACAGGGGCTGGCCGGCTATTTGCCACAAGGTCAGGAAGGAAGCCCTCGCATGAATACAATTTCTTTGGCGGTCCTCATAGATTTCATCATACAGAGAACTTATCATGACCTTTCAGTGCTGGCAGAATTGTAAGTTTAGAAAAAAATCTCTAGGGTGAAATTGTATTTTAATTTTTAATTGTAAAATATTTTCAGGCTGCCCCGTAAGTCTGATATGGAGCGTAAAATAGAGATTTACAATTTCTCGGCGAGAACGAGGCAATTGTTTATACGTCTAATTGCCTTGGTGAAATGGGCTAATTCAGTATCAAAAGTAGACAAATCAGCGGTAAGTGGACACAGCAAGCATAACTTAACAGATATTGATTACATTTTTTGTTTTTGTAGAATATAATGAGTTTTTTGGATAAACAAAATATGTTGTTTGTGGAAACAGCCGATATGTTGGCTCGCATGTCCCGTGAAACTTTAGTGCGTGCCCGTTTGCCCAATTTTCACATACCAGCAGCCGTGGAAGTATTAACGACTGGTACTTATAATCGCTTGCCCACTTGCATAAGAGAACGCATTGTTCCACCAGATCCTATAACACCACAAGAGAAAAAACAAACTTTATTAAGATTAAATCAAGTGATACAACATCGTTTGGTTACGGGCAAACTAATGCCACAAATGAGGGAATTTAAAGTAAGATTATATGAATTTTTAAACACAAGTGATATCGATTTATTAAATTATTTTTTGCAGATTCGTAATGGTCGTGTAACGTTCGAAATTAAGCATGAATTTAATGTTTCTTTAACCGTAATGGGAGATAGTCCCAATGTTCCCTGGCGTTTACTGGATATTGATGTATTGGTCGAGGATAAAGAAACAGGAGGTATATAAAATAAAAAAAGTTATAGAAAATTTGATTAAGTACTCTATTACTTTCAGATGGCAAAGCCTTGGTACATCCTCTACAAGTTAATTACATTCATCAATTGATACAGGCGCGTTTAGTTGAAAATCCTAATGCCTTAAGTGAAGTCTATAACTGCCTACATTATTTCTGTCAATCTTTGCAACTTGAGGTTTTATATACACAAACTTTACGCCTCAGTTATGAACGTTTAGATGACAATATACAAGTGGAAGAATATATACCAGGTGTTAAAGTAAGTGTATCCTATTGGCGTGAATTAACCAGTAAGGATCCCAAATCAGAGTTGGGTTATCGTCTAACTGTACAATCAGATCCCAATGAAATTGGTCGTCCTTTAGCGGTTATACATGTGCCTTCATTGGGCGCTAAAGAATCTGCCGAAGTAGCCGATCGTGCTGTACGTTCAGATCACCTGTCAATGGAAAGATTAATAGTGCACACAGTTTACATAAGATCTGTGTCTAGATTGTCAGATTTAAAATTGGAATTTCAAGCTTTTCTCAAAGATGTTGATTGTGAGTGTAAATTTCTGGAAAGCCTTTTTTGATTTTTTAAAGAATTAACAATTTTAACTTTTATTTTCATAGTTAAATTGGAAGGCACTCCCGCAATTTTAACAGTACCAGTTTTAACTCCTTGCTTAAGGGCAGAACAAATTCACATTACCATTGATACTCATACAGGAATGCTGCGTTGTCATGTTCCCAAGCACTTGGACTGTCCTATTATACCAGATATGCAAATTGCTCTAAACAATGATCGTACTAAACTACCACAAATTATGTCTGAACTAAGATACTGGATAACACATCGTCGTTGTGAGAAAACTTTGCAACATTTACCGGCAACTGCTACAGAAAGTTTACCCTTCTTGACGGTGCCGGATAATCCTCTATTACAGTCAGGAAGACAGAAAATTTTTGTTAAACTTCATCGTCATCCTAGTGTGATATTGGTAAGTATATTTAATATATTTATTTTTAAATTTTAATTAAAAAGAATTTGTTTTAGGTGGTTCAATTAAAAGAAAAATCCAATATGCCCAATGAAATGGAGTATACTTTCCATTTGGGTTTTGTGGCATATCAGACAAATGAGAATGACCCCTTACCAGAAGAATCTTCGCAACAATTGGTACCAGTACAGGCTCCTCCACCTAATTTACAGCCTGGTAGTACACCAAACGCTGAAGTACCTAAAGTTTACACTAAACTTTTGAAACTTATCGAATTTGATACATTTGTGGCAACACATGGACCAGGAACTGATGTTGATGGTAAAAAAATCAAATAAACTATTCTTTATTTCTCCATTAATAATAATATGAATTCTTTATTTATATTTATTTCAGATACTCCACCACACAAACGCAAATTGGGCAATGAGCATGGTGCGCCTTCTGCTAAACAGGCCAAAACAATTTATCCAGCGTACTTTATACCAGAACTGGCCCACGTTGTTGCCATGTGTGATGAAAAGATACCATTCCTGAATTTAGCACAAGCATTAACGAAATACAACATACCACATAGTGGCCTGCAAGTTGAATCAAATGCTACTTCTTTAGTATTAAAAATTCTAACTCTACCCATGCCCGGTCAAACCCATGGAGAAGAACAAAAGGTATATTATAGTTTTGTTGTTTAAAGACTTATTAAACTAATTTTCTAACTTCTTTCCCCCTTAGCCTCAATCGCATGTGTTAAATATGCCTGTTATTGAACCACATATTTGGAAAGATTTGACAAAACGTCTGTTATCCATATCAATACGCTCACAAATGAATAAAAACAATCAGATACGTGTTTGGGTTGTTGAATTTGTTTTCTTTAGCACACCTTTACAGAGCACTCATCCCAAGGAACAGGGCAATCGCAGAACGGTTTATCTTACCTATGATCAAATTAATCATGATTTTTCCAAGACAGTGGAAGATTTATTGAAAGACTGGTCGAAAATTGTTTACCTTTATACATTGGTTTATAATTTCTCAGAACATATGAAAAACAGTAAGTTTTTTTTCTATATTTAAAGCGTTTTTTATATAATTTTTGTCTTAATTTTTAGAACGTTTGAATATTTCGGATACCATCACCATTAATTCTTATAATTATATTAATTTGTTGTTGGGCTATGGTCCGAAAAAGGAAGTAATTTGTAATATTTATTGGTCAGCTCAATCACGAGGTTTTCGTTTAATCTTTATGGGCGGCATAACAGCTGTTAATGCTCATTCAATGATGAAAGATCAGTTGGCCACGCATCTGAATAGTCAACACAGTTTGGCCCAAATGGTGTACATTTTACATGAGACCTATTATCCTTTATCCTCGATAGCCAAGTTGCCTATCATACCACATTTGGGAATACCGGTGAGTTTATTGGAAAATATATTTGTATATTAATATTTATAATGGCATTATTGTTTTTGTATAGCGTCCTCAAGTGCCCGTTTTATCATTTTGTATTTTACCACAATCTCCATGCTTGATACGTTTGGCTTATCAAGCCATGTTTTGTTTGGAAATACGTTTTCGAGCTGGTCGTTTAGTGTCAATACGTGATGGGGCCTATAGTCGTTTTGATAGAAATCTTATAGAAGATTTTACCCCCATACAAGGTTTAAAGGTGGGTTTTATATTAGGCTGAATCTGCTTAAATAATAATGTGTTTAAAATTTAGGGCTTCCTTTCGAAATATGTGGATGAAAATGCTGTTTATCGAGGACGTTCTCAAAGTGATGATGATAATCCTCCTTCACCATTGGGTATGGAAGATAATTTTGGTGGTCCTGGCAGTGTAACAGGTTCGAACACAGGCGGTTCTTCACCATTTCTTAGTGCTGGCATGAGAGGACCACAATCTCCACGTGACAGTGGTTTAAGATTCCCAGCGCCTCATACGCCACCTCTTAGTTCTAATCCTCATACACCAGCTAGTCCGCATCCTTCAGCGGGTGGCGGCTCTTCCACTAGTGGAGGAAATTCACAAAATCATCCCAACTATAACCTGACTTCACCACCGGGACCACATATGCCACATCCATCACCTGGTGGTCTTATGCCTTCTTCTCCGTTGAATCCCCAACCAAGTCCTCACATGGTACATAGTCCTGGACCGAATACATTGTACATGCAAGGACATCAAGATTCACCATTTGCTGCCATGTCCCCGGCCAATTCCAATTGGCCTGGATCACCCAGTATGCCTAGACCTTCACCACGACCAGGACAAAGCCCTGATCATAAGTCTAGCCAATCTGGTAATACGGCATCGAATGCCCCTTCCAACAGCAATGTAAATGCACAAGGTATGAACCGCATGCCTCAAGCTAACAGATCTTGGGCCGGAGCTGTACCTACAATATTGACACATGAAAAACTCGATCTGCTGTGTCGTCCCAGTCCACATCCCAACAAGGATATTGGTGCTACACCAGACATAAGTCCACTTGAACGTTTTCTTGGCTGTGTCTACATAAGACGTCAACTACAGCGTCATGTACAAAATGATGAAACTCTGACGGTGTTGAATTCCAACGAACCAGGTGTAGTACCCTTCAAGGTGGACAATTTGCAATGTCAAGTGATTTTAAATCAAGTGCATATGCAATCATTACATTTAAAAATTACCCAATTGCCGCCACCACCTACACCTGATGGCAAACAACCTTTTCAACTTAGTCCAGATGATTTAATAGTACTGGAGCAATTCTTTGATACCCGAGTGGCAGCGCCACCCTATCGCCCAAATTCTCTGCAAGGTTTCTGCAAAGTTCTAAGTTGTGCACCGCAAGTGCTTAAAGATTTCATACAAATCATGCGCCTGGAAATGAAACCAGACTTGGGAGGTGATCAACTAAAATGGACAGTACAATTTTGCATGCGTGTACCTCCATCGGCTGCACCAATTATACCCATTGGCAGTCCAGGTGTACTGATAGTACGATTGAAAATATTATTCTTTGTAAGTATTTGAAATTATTCAATGTATGCCAAATAAATGAAATATTTTTTTTATTAACAGTTACAAATAACTCGCATACCCTATAACGGCAAAGAATGGAAAGATAGTCCGTCGTTGGTTCTACCCATGGTGTACGATCTCAGTTCCAATTTAACACAATTGGCCGAGAAACGTGAACAAGTACAATCGCCTGCTGCCGTAGCAGCTAGCACTTTATTAAGACGTTTTTCCGAATACGGCGTACAACATGGTCAGTGTTCTTTGTTTCCGGCTGTTAGAGATTTATTGACAAATCTTCAACTTCCAAATGATGTACCGCCACCAAATCAGGTAAAGTTTTCGTTTTATTTTGCATAAAATAACATTACATTACGATGTCCAAGAATTGCAATTATGTAAATACATAATGGATACTTTCTGGGGAAAATTTTAAGTGTAGAACTCAACGAATTAAATAATTCCAAACAAAACCGGCTCAAGATATTATGGCCAAATGTCTTAAACACAAATCTATGGTTGAAAGCAGCTAAACACAAATTGTACTGTAGTCATCAAACGTAAATGATGTTGATTGAATGACAGTTGAAGAAAATAACTGGAAAATACTGATCGAAACTTAGACAAACAGAACACAAACCTGAGCAATAGTAGAAAGTTTTATATAACAGAACAACAACGGGTTTCAAATATATCAGGACTGAATTTCTAGGCAAACCAATACTGCATGAACTTGCGGCTATCTCTAAAATGAACACATATAAGATGGAATATTTTATTCGTGCCTCTGGCTGGTTTAATAACATGTCAAACACGACATGTAATGTCCTGTAGGTAGGTTTTCGTAGGACGTGTTATAGGGTAACACAACTAGTCCATTAAATGCCCCAAGTGAGTCAGTCGCTGACCGGCTTCTTCAACAACCTAATATACTATGCTATCTAATACATAATATATATACAAACGATATGTTCATCAACAAAACTGATTTTTAAACCGATTTGTATATTTTGTTTATTTTAGGCAATTGGACCACCAGTAGGCCCCATGGTTGGTTCCAGCCCAAATCCCATCATGCATTCACCGATGCAACAAATGGGTGGACCTGTCGGCCCACCACAAGTTGGTCCAGGTTATGCTCAAATGCCACAAAATCCAGGTCCTCAGTGATGAAGGCGAAAACGCCGCTCGGCAGCCAATCTTAATATATGATGATGCAGCACAGGCGGCTGGTAATACAAAACAAATACTTTATTTCTCAAATTATTTGATGTCGTTTATACTAGTTTTATATCTTTTTCGTTTATTTTTATTTCAAAGAAATTCTTTATTCAAAGTTAAAAGAAATGCAATAACTTTGTCATTCATTTTTTTAATTATTTGCAAAAAGTAGAAACAAAATTTTAAAAAATTTTTGGATAAAACAAAAAAAATCATATTTTATTAAACAAAAAAATTATTTACTTAAATATAATCACATTAATTTATAAGTATTGTATTTACAAGAAGAAAAAAAAAAAAGAAGAAAGATAAACAAACAATTTAAGAACAAAACTAATAAAATATACTTAATTATTTAAAAAAAAAACAAAAAAACTTTGAAATAGTATCACAATTATTAATAATAAAAAAAAAACATTAATTCCCACAACGCGGAAAAGCATTACAAAAGAAAATAATCTAAGTACAAAGTTGTTTGGTTATTATTTTATATACAAAAATTGTTCATTTCTTCTACGTCCTTTACAAATTCCTAACTAAGTTATTTAACTTAAATATAATGACCCGTTTGGAATGTCTTTTGTGTGTTGTCATGATAAAATTTGTTAATTAAATATCTAAAAAAAGCTTTTGGCTTACTAGCTTATCCAACCTAAGAGGTAAACGAAAAAAAATGTTTTCCTGTAATATTCTACAACTAAAGTTTATTTGTCGGCAACCACCAGTTCAGTTTGTCCCTGTTGAGAGGGCAACTCGGTAATATCATCATTTTCAGAGATCAAAGACACCCAATAGCGCAACTTTTTGCTGCGTAAATAACTGCCAGAATTGTCAAATACTACAGTGTCTGTAAAAGTAAAATTTTTATTATAAAATTAGTTTTCATTTTTAAATAATTAACAACATACATTTTGTATTGGGACGTGTGAAAAAGAAGCCTACTTCATCCATTTCATTAGAGGAAACAGTACCCAAATGCACTTCACTTTGTTTAACGCCCGTAATCTTATCCACACTGTAGATGCCAAATTTAATATCGTAATCAAAGGTGCGAAATTCCCAAGATAAAATTTGATCTTCCTCGCCGGGTTTCTTTTCGCCCACATCGAATTCCAGCTTCAATTTATTACCCTTGTTAACTATGGTCTCTATAAAGTTTTTATTGCTGTCGAATTCCTCTTTCTGTTCCAGATACAAATCCTTGGGAATTTTGCCAGCCCAAACAATCTAAAAATAAAACCAATAAAGAATATAAATTAATAAAGAGCATTTCCTAAAACATAGAAGGATATTACCATGTTAGGACATCTTTCATCACCATTTTCCACAAATTTGCCACCAAAACATTTGGGGAATATATTGGGATCAACATGACTAAATAAAGCATCCTTCCATTTATCGCTGCCAGATTTGTAAATATTGATTTTGCTCATGGTGTATTCATCTAAAAACTTCTTAATAAAATTGAAACCAACCGAAAACAATTTTGGCGCTAAAAAATAAAAAAATTTGCACAAATCTATATAATAAAACCTCTTCTCTCTCTCTTACCATTGACTATGTAGCACATTTTCAAAATTTCTGGATAATTTTGTTCATATTGTTTAATCATGGATATAATCAACTCGGTAGCTGGACGCCAGGCGTATTGTTTTAAATTGAAATCGGCCACATCAAAATACACTACCAGTTGACGTGCCTTGGGCCCATGTATTTTACTCTGTTCATAACCGGCCTTCATGAAACGTTCCAACAGCATGACCACATAACGTTGGAAATCAAAACGGGTAACACAGTGCAACATGCCATAAATGTCGAAATTGTAAAAGGGACATACAATAACTACAAGGTGTAGAAGAAACTATTAGTTTGCAATAAATTTGTAAAAATTCCAAGAAACTTACTGGGTGAACCTTCATTATCAAAACCCACCATACCATAGGGTAAATACTCTTTTAAGGCCTTGGGAGCTTCCCATTTCTCTAAACTGTCTACATTCCACATGGCACGGGTTTTAAGACTCTAAAAAACCATTAAATTAATGTTTTATAGAAATTTATTAAAAAAACGTCTTTACTCACAGCACGTAACATTTTTTCCGCATTTTCCGGATTCCATTTTCTAGCTCTAAGCCAACGCATTAAGAAGTAGTCATCGTGGGTTTCATTTAAAACATCCTTGACACTCTCACGAAACTGAAAGTAAAATACCAGAATAATTATAAGTAAAATTTTAAGCATTTGATGTAAAGTAATAAGTATCATAATGCTGAAACTGATAAAAAGTCCTATGTCTAAAAATAGCCGATTCTAATGTATTTGTACCCCCTGAATTCTAAACTCGTTATATATTTTTGATTACTTTCTAACTTTCGATATAAAGCTGTATTTGTGTGCACATTTATTTACAACATTTTAGTGGAAATATATCATTTATCTTGAAATCAAATTTTCACCGATACCTATTTCTCAGATTTGTACTTCCTTATCCGCCCTTTAATGATAACATCATTAGTAACACAAAAATCTATCAAGGGAATCGTTTAAAATGTAATATATGGAACCACAAATAAATAATAATTAAAGGATTAATATTTTTTATGGATCAACACTCAGGGTATGACCCCTAATTATGCGGAGTATTGTGCTAGAACAAGGAAAATAGGTAGTGGGAGGGAGGATAGAGGTAGCAGTGTTTGTGGATATTTGATTTAAATTTTCTTACATCGAATGATGCAAGGAATATCTCTGCAGGAAGCTTATTCCACATAGGAACAGTTCGACTGAAGAATCTGGTCAATCTACCACAAATGGATGTGTTCTTATAAAAAGGCGTGAGTTGCGTAAGAATAAACGGGCATCGGGAAGAAGTTTCCTTCCAGAAGAAAATACACCTCACGTTGCGGTTGTGCTCGAGTGAATCTGTAGAGTTTGATACCAAACTGTCACCGATAAGTACCTTTGCCCAGTGTTCATTCGAGTAGCTGCAAAATAAACTTCGAAGTTCCGGCCTATATATGAGAGTTGTATTCAATCGAACGATCGAATATAAGTGATGTAAATAGTAAGGTGATCGGATGGAGTGAAGTAGGTTTTAAACCGTTTTAAAAAACCGAGACACTTGAATGCCTTTTTGAACACTTGAAAAATATGTTGTCCTGCGAACATCACACTGTATTCTCATGCCCAGAACATCAAGAGTTTCTAATTCCTTAACCATTATCTGCCAAGCACTTATGTGTTAGAACACAATATTGACTGGGACATTAAAATCTACTCTATTAACACGACCCTAATCTCTGAAGGTCTTGGCCTTTAATTGAATGAATAAGAAAGACAGATATTGGCAAGATAGAATTGGGGAGAAATAGGGTAGGGGAAAGAACGGAGTCTTGCGGCACCCCTGAATTAATCTTGAACTATTTTGATGAGATCCTATCTATAGTGCGATATCTGAGAAATTATTACCGACACCAAATGTAATAAATTGTTTTGTTGAAATGGGTAATGTAAACTGCGCATCCCACACCGGTTGAAGACTTAAATCCAGCAATATAGATTACCTGCTACGTCGTACTAGAGTGGTATTGGCACAACTTAGATCGGGTTGGTGTACCCGTTTAAACTCGTACTGGTCTAGAATAAACGACACCATTCAAGATCTCTTTCCTGCGTGTGGCACAAGCCCACACAATGTTCAACACCTTTTCAACTGCAGGGCAAATCCAACTCAGCTGGAACCTGAATCCCTTTGGACTCAGGCGATCTAACTTTAGATCTAACTGATTTGGATAATCAGAGAGAAGAAGTCGAATAGTAGGGAATAATTTTTAACTATATGTATATATGTGTAATTTCAGGTATCGCTGCTACAACAACAACAAGAGTTAAATTATCTGAAGAAGGTACGTGGGAGAACAGAAGTCAATGCTGAAGAAAATACATACATATAAGTCATAGACGCATGATCACTATGGTTATATGCCATCAGAAATGAGAATAACTACCTCTTTGAGAGCTAATTGGTACAAATGTTCATATCATATTGTGATCTTATCGAATGACCATTTCAAAGTCTTGGGGATAATCCTCTCTGTATGGTCTTTCGGTAGGTATGTCTAAGCTCACTCAGATACTCATTTTAGGATAAAGTTCTCGTTTACTATTCTGTACATTTCGCAGTTTAAACGATTTCGATTTTACAAAAGACCTTATCGACTTCGAGACAAGTTGTCCTCTTAAAACATTACTTGAATTCCTTTTAGAAATAGCTTAAATTTAGTTGTTAAACATCAGTTAAACGAAACCACCACTTTTAACTCTGTTTTAACTGATCATCCCTAAATACCTCTTGAAGTAACTTTAATTAATTAGGTTTAGAAATTAACTTTGATTATTCAGATTTATTTATAATTTTTATAAATTCTAAATGATGACATAAATAGGCAACCATAAATCGAGTAAGAGTAGTATTAATATGAGATCAATGATGTCATAAAATCTCAATACGAAAATTAAACCTAACAATTCTTAAGTTAAGAATTTAAAGAAATTATGGATCATTACAAAAACTCTTGGAATCGGTAATAAACTTTTCATATCGAAATATCAGCTATCCAAATATTAACTTGCAGAGAGCTTATTATTTGTGTTACACCAAAAATGGATTTTAACCCTGAAAAAATAATTTGCAACTTTTTTTAGCGCCCATTAAAAAAACTATTCGTATAAATGTAGGAAAGTGTTTAGAATAATTAAATAAAATTATGCGCGGAAGAGCCATAACGAATGTCAAAATTCATATGTACGTCATGTACTCGCATAATTATTTAATACTGATATTTAAAATAATTAGTTCTTATAATAGTTTGCTAGGAAAATTTTTAGGCCGATGGTGGTCTTGGTGTGAATCATATCATAATATTTTTCTATATTCTTGTCTATGTTTAATGTTTCAATTTAGAACTGTAAGTGACATTTGAAATCAAGTTTCATTATTTAATACCAAAAATTGTATTGGTTTACTAGAGATTTTAATAAAAATAACTTTTTCAGCACAATTTTTGTGTTTGAGATAACTAAAGTTAAAATAATTACGAATCAATAATTGTTTTAATAGCAGATAAACATTTATAAACAATATTTAATGGGTGTGTTGAGTTGCTATAAATACTTCTAATTCGAAATGTAAATTCTTGACTTGCCATTTAAGATTTAAGAAATTAAGGTCGTTATAATTTAGTTGTTTAGGTGATAAAATCTTTTAAAATAATCATTATTTCT